GTTGGCTGCCGCGGGCCCTCCGCCGCACGAGATCTCTCCGCCCGCGTCTTTCTCTTGCTTCCGCCAGCCGCCGGCAGCCTTCCGCCACCCTCGCCGGCGGCGCGCACCAGGGGGGGGGGGGATGGCGAGGAGGATTGGCAGCGCGCACAGGGGGGCAGGGGGAGGGGGGAAGGCTTCTTCGAAGGAGGCTGCTTCTAAGATGCCTGCCCCCCCAACCTCCCCCATACCCCCCTCAGCGCGTGGCCGATGCACTGCGACAAAATGCGCCATCATCTCTCGAGCTTGGGGCGCCTTTGGGCTGCCGCGGGCCTTCCGTCTCACGAGATCTCCGCCCGCGTTTTTTGTTGCTTCCGCCAGCCTCGCCGGCAGCCTTCCGCCACCCTCTCCGGCGGTGCGCACCAGGGGGAATGGAGGCGAGGGGGGACTGGCGGCGCGCACAGGGGGGTAGGGTGAGAGGGAAGGCTTCTTAGAACGAGGCTGCTTCTTAGAAGGCGCCAGTCCTACGTCCACAGAGAAGGCCTGCGCCTTCCAAGAAGCAGGGCTGCTTCTAAGAAGCCTTCGCCCCTCCCCCTCCTCCTCCTCCTCCTCCTCCTCCTCCTCCTCCTCCTCCCTCCTCCCCTCCTCCTCCCACCTCCTCCTCCTGCTCCTCCTCCGGCTCCTCCTCCTGCTCCTCCTCCTCCTCTCCTCCTCCTCCTCCTCCTCCTACTCTCCTCCTCCCTGCTCCTCCTCTCCTCCTCCTCCTCTCCTCCTCTCCTCCCTCCTCCTCCTCCTCCTCCTCCTCCTCCTCATCCTCCTCTCCCTCCTCCTCCTCCTCCTCCTCCTCCTCCTCCTCCTCTCCTCCTCCTCCACCTCCTCCTCCTCCTCGCTCCTCCTCACCTCCTCCTCCTCCTCCTCCTCCTACTCCTACTCCTACCTTATTCCTTATTAGAATATACTCCTACTCCCCCCTCAGGCCGGCAGATAGGGGCCGCATCCGGGTGGTCCCATCTAACCTGTAAAAAACAATACAAAATCAACATGTTTCTTATTTTTTCCTCTCGACATGGACGTCCTGTCGTCCACGGCGATAATCCATTGCAAAAAATACCACAAAGAGCACACGCGCGCGTTCATGTCAGAATCCTACCGAACACCGTGTGTTTGCAAGCATTTCAACATAAAAACATCAAAAACCCTATGCTTTTTCACAAAAATTGTACAAATTTCCCGCCCGGGCTCTCTTGCTGAAATCATAGGAAAACCATAGGAATCTTAAGAATTCTGTCAAATCCAGCGATTTCACGTCATCGCGCGGTGCACTCGCGATGCTCTGTCATGCACCCAGGCCGCGAATCCTGTGCAAAAAATACCACGCCTGCGACATACGCGCGCGTCGCCGCGAGCGCATGCTCAAATCCTTCTAGAGTCGTTGCCGTCATTGGCACCGTCGCATGGACGTCCTGTCGTCCACGTCGCAAAATGCATAGCAGGAATGGGACGCGGCGCACACCCCGCGCCCGCCCATCCAATCCGTCCCATTCTAATCTGCAAAAGACAATACACAGTTTTTGTTTTTCTTGTCAACATGGTCGTGCTGTCGTCACGTCGCAAAATGCGTGGCAGGAATGGGACGCGGCGCACACCCCGCGCGAAGGGGTGACATGTCGCTCTCGCCTCGGCGCCGCGCACCAACGTTTTTCCTCTCAGCATGGACGTCCTGTCGTCCACGTCGCAAAATGCTTGGCAGGAATGGGATGCGGCGCACACCCCGCGCCCGCCCATCCAAACCCCCCCTTTATAAAAAAAACAGTACAAGTTGGGGCCTTCAGGCTTCCTGCGGTGTACCGGGCCATTCTCGACTCGTCTGGCAATGCGTGCGCGGCATTCAACACGCGCTCGCCAGTTCCCGTCGGCAACCGCCATCGCGGCCGCATCAGCTGTACCAAACCGGCTGGCCGGTGTGACTTCGGCCCCCAGTTGTGCCAGCTTTGCTTCTTATGTTGTGGGAGGGCGGGTGGGACTGGGCATGCCATGCTTGACTCGCTCGAGCTGGCTAGCTTGACTCCTACTCCTACTCCTACTCCTACTCCTATCCTTATTCCTTATTAGAATATACTCCTACTCCCCCCTCAGGCCGGCCGATAGGGGCCGCATCCGGGTGGTCCCATCCTAACCTGTAAAAAACAATACAAAATCAACATTTTTTCTTATTTTTTCCTCTCGACATGGACGTCCTGTCGTCCACGGCGATAATCCATTGCAAAAAATACCACAAAGAGCACACGCGCGCGTTCATGTCAGAATCCTACCGAACACCGTGTGTTTGCAAGCATTTCAACATAAAAACATCAAAAACCCAATGCTTTTTCACAAAAATTGTACAAATTTCCCGCCCGGGCTCTCTTGCTGAAATCATAGGAAAACCATAGGAATCTTAAGAATTCGTCAAATCCAGCGATTTCACGTCATCGCGCGGTGCACTCGCGATGCTCTGTCATGCACCCAGGCCGCGAATCCTGTGCAAAAAATACCACAAAGAGCACACTCGCGCGTTCATGTCAGAATCCTACCGAACACCGTGTGTTTGCAAGCATTTCAACATAAAAGCATCAAAAACCCAATGCTTTTTCACAAAAATGCTTTGGGGTGTCCTGTCAGACCGTCGGGCTTCCTCCGGCCACCTCTGGCTTCCTGCGGTGTACCGGGCCATTCTCGACTCGTCTGGCAATGCGTGCGCGGCATTCAACACGCGCTCGCCAGTTCCCGTCGGCAACCGCCATCGCGGCCGCATCAGCTGTACCAAACCGGCTGGCCGGTGTGACTTCGGCCCCCAGTTGTGCCAGCTTTGCTTCTTATGTTGTGGGAGGGCGGGTGGGACTGGGCATGCCATGCTTGACTCGCTCGAGCTGGCTAGCTTGACTCCTACTCCTACTCCTGCTCCTCCTCATCATCCTCCTCTTCATCCTCCTCCTCCCGCTCTTCCTCCGCCTCCTCTCCTCCTCCTCCTCCTCCTCCTCCTTCCCCTCCTCCTCCTCCTCCTCCTCCTCCTCTTCCTCTCCTCCTTCCTCCTCCTCCGCCTCCGCCTCCGCCTCCTCCTCCTCCTCCCTCTCCTCCTCCCTCCTCCTCCTCCTCCTCCCTCCTCCTCCTCCTCCTCCTCCTCCTCCTCCCTCCTCCTCCTCTCCTCCTCCTCCTCCCTCTCCTCCTCATCCTCCTCCTCCTCCCTCCCTCCTCCCTCCTCCCTCCTCCCTCCTCCCTCATCCCTCCTCCCTCCTCCCTCCTCCTCCCCCTACCCCCCTCTGCGCGTGGCCGGGGGGAGGCGAGGCGATGCGAGGCAAGGCGACCCCCAGTTCGCCCGGACGGGCGGCCGCGCGAGGGGCTGGGAGGTGGCGCTGGGGCGCCGATCATTCGTGGTTGTGCGCACAAGGGGGAGGGGAAAGGTGGGAGGGCTTCTTAGAGGGAGGCTGCCTCTTAGAAGGCGCCGGCCTTACATCTACAGATAAGGCCCGCGCCTTCTAAGAAGCAGGGGTGCTTCTAAGAAGCCCTCCCCCCCAACCCTCCTCTGCACGTGGCTGACATTCCGTCACTGGGGATAGATTGCATGTCCTCCTACAGGCGGATGTTGAACGAAAAATAAATACCCAAGAAAATACCCCTAAAATAGTCCAATATAGTCGAAAAGTCTTCCCCTGACTCTTTCTTGATTATGTTTGAGCATTCCTCCTGTAGAGGGACATGCCCGACTTGAGGATATATTCGCTGTTCTGGTATATACGGGAGGGAGGAGGCTACTTCTCAGAAGCAGGCTGCTGCTTAGAAGGTGCCGATCCTACATCTGTAGACGAGGTCGGCGCCTCCTGCGAAGCAGAGGTGTTTCCAAGAGGCCCTCCACCTTCCCCCCTCCAATACCCTTCCCGCATTCTACCGAAGAGGAGAAGGTAACGTCTCGATACCTCGAAGGCGAAACCATCTTTGGAGCGCCCCATGAGGGCGCCACCAATCTCCCAGACCTCCGACGCGACTTGATCCATACGTTGCCCTGGACCACTCGACGCCCTCCTGGATCGTCTCCCGGCGGACCCCGTCCAGGCGTCGGAAGTGGCGACAAACCTCCGCCTTGGTTTTGTCCTTCTTGTCAAAACTTTGGACGACTGGGCCAGGAGTTCAAAATCGGCCCCAGGGACCCGTGTGCTGGCGGGGGGGGTCGTGGCGACGAGAGGCCTCCCGGAGGCAAAATGAAACAAAGTAGCACCAGGAACAGAGCATTCCGCGCTCCCTGTAACCTCCCTGTCCAGGCATCCGACGGGGTACCCGAAGTCGATTACACGCAGGAGTGACCCTGGGCAATAGTGGCCTTTGGTGCGCGGACTGGGGGGGCGCCACGTGGCCAACTCCAAGCGCGCAATCAGCTGCTGTCGCATCGCGCTCCACGATCGGAGGGGCCCCGATGAGCCCACACCTAAGGTCACTCCGGCGAAGGTCGCTCTTACGTGAAGTCGAAGAAGTCCCGACCCCTTCCCCAGGGCCAGTTCTTCCTCCAAAGTCGCTGCCTTGGCGGCCCTGAGCTTGGCGAAGGCCCCCTGGAGCTCGAAGAGACGGCTGAAAAACCTTCCGGTCGTGCTCTCTTTTTTTTCGCGGCGCGAGCATGTCTGGGGCCCCTTCCCTCCCTTGGAGCAGGGAATCGACTACAGGATCGATGTACCCCAAAATTGACTTTCCCGTCGTGCCTGATAAAAAATACGTAGGACGTTCGCAAACCTGCGATATATGTATGTGCGTTTGTACATTCGACGAAAAATAACTCAGGTGTGAATAACTTTCCCGTCGAATTTATTACAAATACGTAGGGCGTTCGCAAGACTACGAAGGTACGTGTGCTTGTAGATTCGACGACACATGATTCTGGGGTGGACAAATTCTGTGGTCGATCCCCTACGCGATCCCTACTGGGGAGGGCCATCACCGACCCTCCGACGGGCCGGGGCGCGGGCGCGCGCGCGCGTGGGGGGCATTGGGCGGGGGGGCCTTCGCACATGAGGATGTTTTCGGGCTTGAGGTCGCGATGGATGACCTTCTCAGGGAAGGAGGCGAGGCGAGGCAGGGGACTCCTCGAGGAGGACGCAAGGAGGAGCAGGAGAGAGAGGATGGAGGGAGGGAGGAGGGAGGAGGGTGGGAGGAGGAAGTAGAAAGAAGGGGGAGGAGGAAGAGAGGAGGAGGGGGAAGAGGAGGAGGAGCAGGGAGGAAAAGGGAGGAGGACTTAGGGGGAGGGTTCTCTGGGGGTTGTGGGGGCCTCCTCCTCTTCCTCCTTCTACATTTGTGTGTGTGTTCCTGTGTCTGGACCCACCGATCACTCTTGCGGGACTCGTGATTCTGATCCAAAAACTCACGCAGAGGTTTAGCGATTCAGAAGAGACAAGATCGCAAAAATTAGCAACTTTGGATCCCGTGCTGCCGTATCGATGCCCGAGAGCCACCACGAATCCGCTGTGGAACAATCGATTCCAGAACCGTCCGGAAGACCGGCGGCAACATGAACTTCAAAGAGATTCCGAAGAATATTCAATGTTGGTGCCGCGATTGCTTCTTAGCACACCAACAATCGGCATTCCAAAATTATTGGTATACGGATGTACATGGTTGCCTTCCTGCTGTCTCAGCTTTCCGTTCTCTCTTACGTCGTTGTTTAGTCCTCGAACACGTTTTTCCTATCAAGGAATCAAATATATTCTTGATACCTCGAGCATTAGATTCCCAGGGTTCAGAACTCGATTTGGGAACAGCGAAAGAGCAAGACAGGTTCAGATTACGCTGAAAAACCTGAGCTTCACACCTAATGAAAAAGCAGGGATATCCTTGGGAATGGAAGGACGAGAAGCTCTGGCAAGACCCACCATCACATGAAAATACACACATACAGCAACAGCAGCAGCAGCAACAACAACCAGTAATACTGCTCGCTCTCATCTGTTCGCGTGCCATTCAACACGTATACCCCAAACCCTCGATACCCGCCTTCTTCGTCTTACCCCCGTGGGGGCATCTATTTCTTACCCTGTAACGTGTATTTCGTGCAGCCCACCTAAGGCAGGGGAAGAGCGGACGGGTGGAAGGAAGGGACAAGGGGGAGGGAGGAGGATGGAGCACGATAAAGAGGAGCAGGTGGGGTCCCGACCAACAACTGCATGGGCCCAAGCACCCCAGCGCTCCGACCCGTGCGATGCGCTGCGACCCCGAGGCCTCTCGAGCCCCCGAGCCGAGCCCTTCCTGTTGAGATCCCGGGGACGCCCGAGTCCGACCTCCAGGGCCCTCAACACGTTCGGCTACACGCAAGACTGGCCACACAGGCAAGAGTGCCCTTTGGTGCGCCGCTTCAATGACGGCGGGGGGGCGGAGGGACCCAACCGAACACGTAGTCGACGCATGGGGTCCCAGAGCTCTCGGTCCAACCTCTGCACAGGCCCACGCACCCCGGCGCTCCGGCCCGTTCGACGCGCTCTGGCCCCAAGACCATTCGGGCCAGGCTTTCGCCCCGAGCGGCTTGTGCTGACGGACCCAAGGCCCGACTTGAGGGGGAGCGTCAGGAGGACCAGCTCAGGGGGGAGGGGGGCCCATCGAGCTGGAATCGGCGACACATCGCCGATCAATCGGCGACAGGCCCTCGATAGCGAATCCCCACGTTCCTCGGCGGAGTCGGCTGTCGGCTTCGATCGGCGATGCGTGGGCGATTGTGGGTCGATGCGTCCCCACCCTGCGCCTATCGCCCCCTAACGCCCTAACGTTGCCCCTGACGAGTCCAACCTCCAAGGGCCGAAGAATGGCGACGACCTGGCCGCTGCGACTTGTTCGAGGCGCTCGCTGTCTCCAGCCGTCGGCTCACGAATCAGGCCCCCGGCGGCCGCTCGTGACGAACCGGGCACCCTTGGAACGCCCCCGACGAGGCGCAGCTGCCGGAAGGCGTCCCGAGGCTGGAGAGCCGCTGGGAAACGACGAGAACGTCCGAGAGCACCGAGGCGCCCGATGGAGCCACAGACGTCCGATGCCCGGACACCTCTTCGATGCGGGCCTCCCGGACGGCCCGGCCCTCCGACCCCTTGCCCGGGGCGGGCTTCTCGTACCGAGCCGCTGCTCCACGGCCCCGGGGCCCGCCGAGGGCCCCCCAAGAGGCCGACGACGGCCGCCACACCTCAGGAGGAGAAAAAACACACAGACACAATTAATCGTCGATTCCCAGAAAATATAGGAAAAAATATAGGCAGTGGGGGGAAGACAGAAACCCAGAAAATATGGGAAAATATGGGGGATCTTTTTATTTGTGTGTATTTATTTGTGTGTCCCAGGGCCCCTTCAACACCGTCTCCGCCGGGGTTGTGCCCACGACGCGCGCACGCCTGCGGCGTTTTTTGTTGGCTGGCCCGCGGCGGTGCCCGCCGCGGGGGCCCGGGAGCGCGGCTTCGAGGCGCTGCTCCCCCCTGGTCTGCGCACCGCGCCGAGGAGGCCTCGGCCCGCCTCTGCCCACAGGCCCTCGGGCCAGGGAGGGCGGAGGCCCCTGGGACTCTGGTCGGTGCTGCTGCAGAGATCCGACGATCTGATGTGCAGTCAGCCCGCATCGCAAGGACGCACGATGAGGATGCAAAGGCCTCGGAGGGCCATTTCGAAGCTCTTCGAGCGGGGCGTGGCCAACGAAAGCGGCCAATGATGGATCGAGGAGGCAAGGATGCAGGGATACCCTTGGGAAGGGTGCCCATCCTTACCATGCTGGTTGGCTGTGCTCAATGCGCGGCCTCAAAAGTCCCGACTCCTTTCCCAGAAGGTTGCTCTTGTGTCCCGGATCCGTTTTTCATGGTCCCGGGGCCCGATAACGCGCCCCGAAAGCTGAAATCGATGGAATACGCCCAGATTGAGCAAGTCGAGATCGGATCGAGACGGCCAGAGCCGATATCGAGTGAAATAGACCCTGCCCTCCAGCGAACCCCCTTCTGGTGGAGGTGGTCGAGCGCGCTGGCGACGTGCACGAAGTACCTCGCGGCCTGCTTCTGCTCCAGGCAGCCTCGCCTGCGGATCGGACACGGGATACGGAGGGAGGGGGGAGGACGAGAAGAGGACGAGAAGAGGACGAGAGGAGGAGGAGGAGGAGGAGGAGGAGGAGGAGGAGGAGGAGGAGGAGGAGGAGGAGGAGGAGGAGGAGGAGGAGGAGGAGGGGGAGAAGGGGGGAGGAGAGGGAGAGGAGAGGGAAGAGGCGGCAGAAGGAGACAGGGTGAGTGGAGATGACTGGAGAGGCGCTTGGAGGGACACGTCGAATCTCCTACACCCAAGCCCTTCCCTGCGACTGGACATGGTCGCAGGAGCTAGAGGGGGATAATCATTGCGAAGGGAGAAACACGAGGAGGGGGAGCAGGTAGCGAGAGACAGGGGGACCAGGGGAGGGGCGGACTTGTGAACATCGACGGCAGCTGCCGTCGATACGACTGCAGGGCTGGCGAAGCCCCACAGAACAAGCAGACAAACAATTTTTTACAAAAAAACGAGTAAAGAAGAAAAAAACAAAAACGAATGGCAGACAGTCGGACTAATGCAAAGACGCCTGCGCCTCACCAAGACACTGGAGGGAGAGACCTGGGCCGGCCAACGAGGGAAGGGCCTCGGGTCGATCGAGGAACGGTTCCGAACGACGAGGACGCATCGGAGGAGGAGGAGGAGGAGGAGGAGGAGGAGGAGGAGGAGGAGGGGGAGAGGGAACCAGGCATTTAACGTCGCAGCGCGGCAGACGCGGTCCGCACGCGCGCTCTAGTAGGGGAGAAATCGGATACCAACGAATTGTCCGGCTGAAAGAGGGGAGAAGGAGACGGAGGGCAGCCGCGGAAGGCGGGCAAGAAAGAGAGGGCACTCACTGCACGAAGACAAATTCAGGAGTGGACGGTGCGGCCAGCCTGTGCTGAGGCAGCCTGGCAGTGGACGCGGAGCGGCATCAGAGCCACACCCAGGGGCTGAGGCAGAGGCTGCAGGCGCAGAACGCGTAGATCGAGTCGACCCATCACGGGAGGAGGAGCAGAGAGCGAGCTCACAGAAGCGGGCAGCATCCAGATGTTCGTCAGAAGGCCGTGGGCGACGGGCTTTGCTGCAGGTACGGCGCCAGCGGGATGCGGGGAGGCCCAAGCGACCACAGGGGCTGGACCAGCAACCAGCTCGCTGCTGAAAAGTGCTACGATACTGCCTAGCTGAGCTGCTCAGAGCAGAGCTGCAGGTCTGCCGGCTGCGAAGCAGCCGAGGGCTGCAGAGCAGAGCTGCAGTTCTGCCAGGGACTGCTGAGCTGCAAGGCACCAACTGCTGAAGTGGCGCAGCGCGGCGAGGACGCCCACCACCGAAAGGGAGCACCCAGGCGGCGGGGCGGCCCGGCCAGTGCACGCATCACGGCCAGGAAAACCCAGAAACGCCCGTGAGCAACCTCCTCCTCCTCCTCCTCCTCCTCCTCCTCCTCCTCCTCCTCCTCCTCCTCCTCCTCCTCCTCCTCCTCCTCCTCCTCCTCCTCCTCCTACAATGGCCACGCGCGGGCGCAGCGGGCCAGGCGGGCGGAGGCGCCAGCCCGGCTGGTGCGCGAATGCAGCTGGGTGGGGCGGGGGCGCCAGGCCACAGGGCTGGCCAGGCAGGGGCGCGCAGCTGCCCAGGCAGCAGGGCCAAGGGAGAATTCGCCTGGGGAGGAATGCCGAACCAACAGCACACACCCATACCCATAGGGGAATCGGAGAGGGCTATGGGTGCGTGTTGTCGGATGGGGGTCCCCGCTCGAACGGGAGCGTTCCCCAGGGTCCGACAACCCGCACCCATACCCACAGCCAGTCCTCCTCCCAACGACCCCCCTATGGGTATGGGTGTGTGTGTTGTTCGTTCGTCAAGGAAGAGGGCGGGGAGGGAAAGGGAGGGCAGACGAGACCAGGTGTGCGCGAACGGCGGAGATCCGGCCGAACCAGGTGATCGCCCAGCCCACTCCGAACTCCAGCACGATCCCACCGCCCAGGTCCAGGCCATCGTCCCCCGCCGCCGGACTGCTGGCAGACAGACCAGTCGTGACGGCAGTCTGGCCGCTGCGCCTCCCTCCAGGTGCCACGGTCTCAGCGGCGTTATCGTCGTGGGGGACCAAGAGTCGGTCATGGGAAGGGTCAGGGTCGTGGGAGGCCGCTGCACCGGTGACCTGCCGTAAGTCGGACCCGCCAGAGGACCCGCAGACTTCCCCACCCGCTGGGGCCCGCGCACCGAAGAGACCGAGGCGCTGGACGTCTGGGTTCCATGCGCCTCCCAGTGGCCACCTCTGCCACCGCCAGGAGCAGAGAGCAGAAAATCCACCCTCATAATGAGCACCCCAACAAGCGAAGCCATGTAGTAAACGCGAACAAGGAAAGAATCGAGCAGGGAAGGGCTGTTTAGTAAACGCCCAGGGCCGGTTGGTAAACGCCAGCTATTAGGGTCGGGGTGCCGTTTCCTCTCTTGAAGGAAAGGGGGAGGGCTTCTCGATGATCCTCAGAACGTGTGTTAGCGCCAACATGTACTGGCCCACCGCAGCTCTTCAATACGACGCAGGTGGTGCAACGATGGCTGACACAGACCGAACAGGGTAAACACACATTGGACTAGCCCACGTCATAAGGCTCATCGAGCTTCCCAACTCCCCAGCCGATAGGAGGCCGCGCCAAGCACGTGAGGCACGAGGGGGAGGAGGGGGAGGAGGGGAAGGAGGAGGATGAGGAGGAGGAAGAGGAAAGGGAGGACCATGTGTAAGGGGCCCGTGAGGAGAGGGAAGTCAGGGAGGGGAGGGAAACGGGGAAAGGAGAAGGGAGAGGGAAAGGGGGGAGGGAGGGGTGCAAGCAGGGAGGGGGGAGGACAGGGACGCGGCAAGGGAGAGGGGTAGCCCGTGGGCCTACGGAGCAGATGGAAGAGGGAGCCGCCGCGAGCGTACTCCAGCAGCATGTGCACCTCAGCGGCCCCGGGCGCGTATCGTCCTTTCTTGCGTCGCCTGCTCGGCAACCCAACCCCCAACGCCATAAGGTCCCCCTCCCCCATCCCGTGCCTGCCCCCCCCTTCCCTTTCGCTTTCTCTTCTCACTTCTGCGTTCTCTCTCCATCCCTCCCTCTCCCTCTCCCTCTCCCTCTCCCTCTCCCTCTCTCTCTCTCTCTCTCTCTCTCTCTCTCTCTTTCTCTCTCCTGTATTTATGTATGTATGTGTGTTCCCTCTTTCTTTCTCTCTCGCTCTCTATATATAAGTAGTATATACATATAGATACGTCTAGCAATGTGTGTAGTTGTACTGTGTATCGTCCTATTGTCATGTGTGTATCTCTCTATCTCTCTGTCTCCTTATTTTTATATATATATATATATATATATATATATATATCGGTCTCTCTCTCCCTCTCGCTTAGTCTCTCTCTGTCTCTTTCGTTATACTATATGTGTGCGTGTGCCTATGCGTGTGTGTATTTACATGCATATGTAGACATAGACCATCTACATGTATGTGTATATATATAATGTACCAGCTTGCCAGAAACCCTGCACCCCTTCCCCTTAAATCCCCCTCCACCTTCTGCCAATCGATTCCTCCCTCATGTTCCCTTCTGCCTCTCTACACCTCTCCCCTCCACTCCCCTGTTTGACAGTATCCCACCCCACCCCACCCTGGGATCAGCATGAACTTTCTGGCAGGAGCGTGCTCACTGCTGAGGCGCGCGCATTGTCCTGGTCCTCGAAGTAGTAATGGAGGGCGAGTATGCACGGGTGCTTCAACCGCAGCTGAGTCTTGACCTCCCGAGCCAGTTGGTCCGCCAGCTGGTACTCCTCGATCTTCCTCTTCAGTATGGTCTTCATCGCGAACACGTCTCCGCTCTTCTTGTTGACCACCTTCGCCACCTGTCCGAAGGAGCCCCCGCCGAGCCCATCACCGACGGCCACGAAGTCGTCGAGCCTCCCGGCGCGGGGCGGGAGAGCAGGAAGGAGGCCCGAGGACCGGGGGGGGGGACGAGCAGGAGGAGGACACGAGACGCCGAGGAACAGCAGGAGGAGGAGGAGGAGCAGCACGAGGAGAGCCTGCCCCCTCCCCAGTGGCAGCCTGCTTAGTCACTCTATGCCCTCACGGGCCCCTCTGCTTTTCCTGCACTCTGTCCTATAGGTTTCCGCACAAGCTTTCTGCCTACGTTGTTGGCCTCTGCGCTTAAGTCAGCGTCTTACCTTTTTCTCCCAAGAACGCAACAGCCCCGCTGATTGGTAATCAGGGGGAGACGGCTTCGTAGGAGGAAAATGCTTCTTAGAAGGCGCTGGCCCTACATCAATGGATAAGGCCCGCGCCTTCAAAAAAGCAGGGGTGTTTCTAAGAGGCCCTCGCCCCTACCCCATACCCCCCTCTGAGCGTGGCTGAGCCAATGCTTGCCTGGCGCAGAAAAGGAGGAGGATACTTTTGAACCATGTGTGCGTCGCCCTGCGGGGCCGACACACGCATAGCATGAGAATGGGCGGGTGATGCCGAGGAAAAGACCCAGGGACACACACACACACACACAAACAAACACACACACACAAAAAATAATACAAAAAAACGAAACTGACAAAAATCTAAAGACTCCCCAAACTGCTGCATACGTTCTGGATGCTCGTCTTCCCCTCCACTTCCCATGTCTCCCAGATGCTCCGGGGAAACGAAGACTGCTTGTGCCTGGGCCCATCTTCCCCTCCTGCGTAACATGAGCATGAGCAGGTGACGCCGAGGACAGGTGGCCCGCAGTCCTCGCTCACCCCTGCTGCGCATCGCGCCCCAGCGACGGGTCGCGACGGCCTCCTGGCTGTGGCCCCCCAGGCTGCGACCAGCCCCACGGGACGACGGCACCCGCGGGGACGGGAGTGTCCATCGGCGGCGAGCCCCTGGGGGGGGAAGTGAGTCGGGGCGGGCCTTCCCTGGGGGCTCGGAATTCCCCCCGCCTTCTGAAAAGTTTTCGGCGCCTCCCCCGAAGACACGGAGAGCCTCTCAGCAGGCCCGAGGCCTTCTGAGAAGCCCCGCCGCCTCCGGAGGCCTGCTCCTTCTCGCGCCACCCCCGTGACTCGCCGCCGAGTCCAGTCGCTGCGACACGCACGCTTGACCTCTGCGAGCTGGAGCCGCGGGTGAGGATTTTTGCGTCGGCGGCTAGGCGGAGTGACTGCGCTGGCGGAAGAGTAAAGGCTGGACGAACAAGTGCGAATTAAGCCGAATTTGTTTTTGGTTCGCGGCTCCAAGGCGAGGGACAGGGAGCGGGATCAACGTCCGGGGCGCGGAACGAAATAAATTGGCCACCGAGGCGAGTGCACGTGCCAGGGGCAAAATGACCCTCATTAAGACGCATACTGCGTCAACACGTGACCAGTCCATACATCCCGACAGGTGGGGACGCAGGCGGGGCGACCGGCGGCAGACCGGGAGGGAGAAGTCGCCCTTTCGGCGCCAATCTCCGGCCGATCCACATTCGGAGGCGAGGCCAGGAGGCGGGGGGGAGGGGGAAGGGGCAAAAGCGAGCGCCAGCCAGGGCTCACTGCAGCACTACGAGGAAACGAAGGTGCGGCAAAAAGAAGAGGGAGGGCCTGACTCGTCACGGCTCACTGACGCAGAGGAGAACCTGTCCTGCCCCGCCGCCCCGCCCAAAAGCCAGAGGGAAGGGGGGGGGGCCCGTCAGCGCGGCAGCGCGGGCGCCGCAACTCTTATTCGGACCACGGGGCGGGCCGACAAAGAAAAGCGGGCCAGGAAAGGAACAGGAACGGGCCGGAGAGCGAGGAGCCGAGGAGCAAGAGGGGGAGAGGGAGGGGGGACGACCGGAAAGGGCAGACCGGGCAAGGAAGCAACACAAGGGCGAGAGAGCACAAGGGCAAGGGGGGGGGGGAGCACGGAGAGGAAGGAAGAGGAGAGGGGGAGGAACCGAGAGCCAAAGCCAAGGCAAGAAAGAAAGCGGGCCAAGAAGAGCACCCCTGCGTCAGCGCATCAGGACAAACTGCCGCCTTCCATTCCGGCGGGAAGAAGACTCCACAGAGCAGCGGCCAGATTAGGAGGAGGAGGTGGAGGAGGAGGAGGAGGAGAGGGGAGGGGGGGAATGACGATGGCGACACAGGTCACGCGGCCGCCAGCCCGCTAGGGCGCGGCTGCGCGGCGTCTCACTCACCGTCCTCGTGCGCCGGCTCGCGCGCGACAGCCGCCGCAGCCGCCGCCCACGCAGCTCGCCCTGCGCGGGCCCTGGCCCGCCGACGCTCGATCCGCGCAGCGCAGCCCCAGGCGAGTAGGATCGCCACGCGCTGGCCTGGCGCACGGTTGACTGCTCCCGCCCCTCCTTCCCGGCTACCGCTGCTGCGACGGCCCGGAAGGCCGCGTCCTCGCCCTTGCTCATGCCGCCCTGCTGCTCGAGGACAACGGGCCGGAAAGCCAGGCCCTGTGCGCGGCACCTCTCCTCGGTCCGGCCCCGCCTCCGTTTCTCCTCGTCGTAGGTCTCGGACGGGAGCCCGGCGGCCAGTGCGGTGTCCGCCCAATGGCCCGGCCCCAGCGCGTTGATGACTGCGAAGTCAAAGCACACCTTTTCTGCCTGGACCGCACGGCTGCCGTCGGGAAGGTGCGTCGCCAAAGCCAAGTGTGGGATCACGAGGACGTCGGCTGGCCTGCGCTGGTCTGGCGGCGCCTCTGGGCCCTCCTGGAGCAAGCCTGGGACCTCGGACTGCGGTCGCAGTCCGCCTCGGCACGCGTAGTCGTAGAGGACGTCGCGAACGCCGTTGTGAGTGCCCGTGGTTTCAGGGCCCCCCATGCAGGAGAGGCAGTGGATTCCCTGAGCGTCCAAGGCAACCCCGCACAAAGGACAGGTGGACCCCGCATCCAAGACATCGACACCGAGCCGGAGCGCGACGTTGTCGGCAAACAGGGCGAAACTCAGACGGGAGGGGGGCGCGGCCAGCCGCTGAGCACCGGTGTCGCTGTGGGATGGCGGGCACCATCCACTAAAGTTCAAATTAAGCCGCAATGCACAGGGGGGAAGAGAGGGAAGGAGGAGGAGGAGGGGGAGGACGAGGAGAAGGAGGGAGGAGGGAGGACGGCGGGAGGAGGGAGGACGGCGGGAGGGAGGCAGAGGCCGGGCCCGCTCACAGCGACGGGTAAGGATCCCACCCTCCCTCGTCTCGACCTCGCGCTGCCGTCGCCCGGCAAGAGAGCGGCCACCGCCCGCCGTGGGGCCGTCCCCCGCGGCAGCGAGTCCCCCTCGCTGGCCATGGCGAGCCTCGGCCACGAGTTGGCTCCCCAAGCCAGCTTCAGGTCCGGCATGACCTCCTACCGGCGGATTTGGGAGGAAGAATAGGAAAGATTCGAATCCAAAAAGAATCGAAACATAAATCCTCCTCCTCCTCCTCCTCCTGCTCCTCCTCCTTCTCCTCCTCCTCCTCCTCATCCTCCTCCTCCTCCTCCTCCTCATCATCCTCCGCTTCCTCCCCCCACTCCTAGCCCTTTCGATCAGGGTCGGCGGCACCGGCCGTCAGGCCTCTCCAATATTCGAATCCAAAAATAATCGAAACACAATCCCAAGACTATTGTTTGACTGTTTTTGACGATTCCTCCTGCAGAGGGACGTGCCCGACTTAAACCTAGCTCCAGGGGAAAGGCCAAAAAACCAGAGCTTCCTCCCGAACCCAAAGCGGTCCTTCATCTTCCACCGCCTTGACCGCATTTTCGCCAGCGCCAGCAGAGCCGCCAAGCTTCCACCCGCAAAGCCGCCCTCGCCTCGCCTAATTGCGGGCCTCCACCCCAAGTTTCATTCGACGTCTTGTCTTTGTTCTAGCCCAGACCCCCGGAAGTCCCTTTCCCTGGAGCGCGGGCCCCCCGAGGCCGAAAACGGCCAGAAACCTTCTGTGGCGCTTTTGTTCACGAAACTGGGACTTCAGGGCTCACGTCACCCCGACACGTCGCGAGCGGGGCTGGTCCCCCGCCGCTGGCGGGACGTGGCACCAGGCCCGCCCTGGACGTGCTCGCACGGTGGAAAATTGAATACGGAAGATGGTTGGCGGTTTTCAGCCTCCAGTGGCCCTCGCCGGGCCCCAGGACCGTTCAGGGACGCCTCGGGATCCGAAGCCAACCCTGGGGAACGTGTCGGGACTTGCGAGGACGCCTGCCTGAATGAGCCCGGCGAAGGACCCAGCCATGTGCAGTTGTGAGTACCGCAGCTGTGGGTATGGTCTCCGGTGGATTTCCCCATGGGGCCACGAAACGCGCGAGGGGCATGAGAAAAGGGGGGGGGCGGGGAGCCGCATGCGGACAGAGCCATTGGAGCCTTCGGCTGAGCTCCCTACGGGGCCACGAGACGCATGAGAGAATTGTCGAAACGGGCGTGACGCCCACATGCGGACGTTCCCTCTGGGTACTTCGGTGGAGCTCCCTATTGGGACACGAACCGCGTGAGGGGCGTGCCGAAACGGACGTGATGCCCACGTGCGAACGCTCCCTCTGGGACATTCGGCTCCCTATGGGGCCACAAACCGCGTGAGGAGTGTGCCGAAACGGGCGTGACGCCCACATGCGAACGCTCCCTCTGGGGCCTTCGGTGGAGCACCTTGTGGGGGCACAAGACGTGTGAGGAGAGTGCCGAAACGGGCGTGACGCCCACATGCGAATGCTCCCTCTGGGGCCTTCAGTGAAGCCCCCTATGGGGCCACGAAGCGCGTGAGGGGAGTGCCGAAACGAGCACGACGCCCACATGCGAACGCTCCCTCTGTGGCCTTCGGGGGAGCTTTTCCGGGGCCACGAAAAGGGCGACCGGTACGACGAAACGGGCGTGACGCCAACATGCGATCGCTCCCTCTGGGGCCTTCGGTGGAGCTCCCTATGGCGCCACGGAAAGGGCCAGAGGTGCGCCGAATCGGGCGTGACGCCCACATGCGATCGCTCCCTCTGGGGACTTCGGTGGAGCCTCCCTATGGAGC